GGCGGGTGTGCGTCTTGGTGGAGCGGAGACTCCCGGCACACCCAGCGCTGTTCGCTTGCCTTTATTCCTTTAATAAATTGTAAACTTTGATTGGAATCCTGTTTGGGACCAACTCATTTATTACACCCTGCACAGAGCTCCAGGGTGTTGGGAACAAAACCTGTCAGGATCTGCATGCGAAACGGCTCCTTTCACGGGTTTATTCCCTCCTATCCATCTCCTAATCTTTCCTGACATTTGTCTGTTCGGCTGCCAGGGAAAGGATGTCTTGATGGAGACCACCACCCCCCTCACACTAGGCCCTTGCTCCCAAGTGGCAACAAGCCCATCCCTTCGCGAGCGGGCCGGGGTGGCAGCCCCTGACCCCCCCCTCACACCTCAGCACGCATTTTGTTGCCAGCTGTCCGGTGCCACAGGTTCTGCTGCATTCCCCAGCCTTTCCCTGCTGTGCCTCGTCCGGTGAGGGAGGGGTCTTGTGTAAACATTGTGGAGATGCACATACACGGTGTATGATGCAACCTCTTTGCTCAAAGAGGATGACCTAGGAACCGGTATCCTTCCTCCTTGTGCACCATCCCCTCAGCCAGCATCTTGGCTTCTCCAGTCCCTTCCCTCGAGCCAACCCCGAGGTGGACTCCACATCCCCCAGCAACCTGGTCACCCCATGGTCCTCTTTGCAGTCACTGCTCATGAAGTCGGTGTGTCTGACAGCTCTGCAACCCAGTTCTGCCAGCTGGGACCTCGCCGCCGAAGGGTCCTCCTGCACAGAGTGCTTCCCTCCCGTCCCACTCCTGGAATGCTGGGCTGGGAATTGCTTCCCCAGTGCTACTCTGGGAATGTTTTGGTCAATGCAAGCCTAAATACTGCAGGAGTGCATATTCACTTGAGCGCGCTGCAGTGCTGACGTTAAACTGGCATACTAACAGCCTGAAGTACAAAACCTGGCAGGATTTAGATCTTCCTCCTGCTTGGATCATTAGCTGCAATGAAAATTCCTCAGCGATCCTTGCAGGTATTGCAAGGCTCTCGCGCTTTCAGATCTGGAACACTGGTGGCCACAAATACTAGAGATCCCCAAATCAGAAAAAAGGCATTTATTACAGAAAAGCAGAAAGCTGATAAAATTGTACAAGAGTCACAGTGAAATATCTTTTTTTTTTTTGCCCCTGAGCAAATATGACATTATCATGTCACTATTTATTCAGCTTTTAAAAATCTAATATCAGACTAAGAAATAATAGGAGCTACATTACAAGGCAAACATTAGCAAAGCCCTGGCAACAGTTGGCATCTGAGACAGAAAGAAAAGATGTAATTATGTGGTAGATTCTCAACAGGTTTTTGCACAATCAGAGTTTGAAGAGCCGTACTGCTTATGTCGAATTCGACATGACAGTAAGAATTGGGCTGTCAACATACACGCTGTATTGTATTGACTTCGATACTCCAATAGTCCCAGTTAGAATGAGGAAATTTTAGTGACCCACTGCAGTTTCTAAATGGCTTGAGTGGGTACAAATGGGAGCAGCTACGAAAAGAGAGAAGCATAAACTGAAACACGGGAGGTTCCCTCTAAGCATCAGGAAAGTTTTTTACTGCCTGAGTGACTGAGCCCTGGCAGAGGCTGCCCAGGGAGGCTGTGGATTTTCCGTCTATGGAGATACTCAAAAGCCATCTGGCCATGGTCTTGGGCAGCCTAGGTGTCCCTCCTTGAGCAGGAGGTTGGACCAGATGACTTTCAGAGGTCCTTTCCCACCTCAACCGTTCTGTGATCCTGTGCTGCCTCCTTCCCCAGAAAGCACATTCCTGCTACCCCTCATGCCAGCACTAGCACTTGAGCAGCCTGCATGCCAAGGTGGAGCTTACTTGGCTGAATATTAATTTGCCAAAAAAAAAAACCAAGTTCCCAACTCTTTACACCGTTGCACACCCGAGCCTGCTTATGAGAGGTTTGGGACCGTACTGCTGGGGACAGAACTGCCTCCATGGGCAGAAACCTGCATTTCACATGATTCCATGTGAACACAAAACCACAGCCCCATTCCCAGCAGAGATGAAGACAGTCACCACCGCTCCCAAAAGCAGGCTGTAGCTCTATCTTTTTGGATGAGAAAAGAGATGATCTGGCTGCAAATTTGCTAAAATCTCCCCACCACTGGAAAAAAAAGCAGAGTTTTGACCATTTGCACCAGCACCAGCAGGGATGTAAACAAGGATGGCTCCTATTGTGTTTCCTACCAGTGGTCCCACTCTGGTAGTGCTGAAACAACTCAGAATACACAATCAGCTTAAAGAGCAGAGGAATTGAAAGTACAAGTCTCCACACTGTTCTATGATTTATCCAATTTACCCAAGTAGTTTGTAATTGTTGACTTCCTTCTGCAATTGCCATTTTCAGCAATTTGTTCTCTCCAGGTGGTGATGTCCTTTAACTAAAAGCAATTTGATGACATCCTACAGGCCTACACATGATAAAATATATATGTCAAACTGCATAATTTTTTTTTTTTTGCATAGACTACAGAAAGAGCATCAAAAAAATCTTAAGGCCACCCTATAATATCACTGAACAAAAAACAGGCGAAGCATTCTATTGTCCATAGCCCTAGGTTAAACTGTCATCTCAAGATGTGCCTCTTCAGGACATATTTTCTTAGTGATATAGCAAATGGAGTTTAGTGTTGGCTCTGGACACCAAACAGAGCAAAAGATTGAGAGATATCTCCTCCTGTGCAGGGACAGGGTGGATGCCGAACACAATCCTCCTTTCTAGGCCTGAGAAGCGTCGGATGCTGTCAAGAACAATGACGTTTTCTAAAACATCCTCCGCTGACCCCAAGGCCAACCTCACCCTGCCTTTCCTTATTTGTCTTTTTAGCTCAGGTTCCAATATCTGACGGAACTCCTGGGCTGCATCCTGCGTACTGCACAGGATTGCAATATCCCTGACGGGATAGCCTTGCTGGATGTAGCTGTTGCACTGCCTCGTCACGTACTTTGCCATTTCATGTGTTCCCATATTTTTTTTCATTATGTAGTCACCTGAATAAGAATGGGCACATTCAGCCTGTTTAAACAACTCTTTCAGCACCTCATAGGGCATATCTGTGTTACGTTCTCGGAGGATTTTGCTCATTAGATCAAACATGACATCGCATATTTGCATGGCATTACGGACCACTTTGGTCAACCATTCCTGAGGATATAGTTCTGAAAACTCAAGACCACAACCATATGGGTGAGTGGACTGGAAGAAATCCAGGAAGACCCAGAAAATGCCACTGTTTTTCTTGACTAGCTCCCGGGCACGTTGGTGCCAGTTTTCTTCAGGACGAAAATTCTGAGCTTCATCAACCACAATGTGTTTCACTTCTGGGAAGTTCCTAGTTAAGAAGGCAACGCGTGTCACTGACTGGCACATCTCATTTCTAAAAAAAAAAAAACAAAACAAAACAAAACCAAGAAAAAACATAAATAAAAAGATGTGACCAAACAAATCTGTATCGACTGCCTTCATTTCTCCGTGAGTTTTTCCTTAGAGGGCTATTGCTGCTTACTGCCTAAAAATGCAAAACTTCCTATCATCTCAGCTGCGGCACGTTGTATCCTTTCCCCCATGGAAGCATTTATTCTGACAGATTGGCTGTGTGCAGGCATTGCTGCACAGCCCCTACCAACTGGCTTTGGATCTCCCCCAGGAGGACACTCAGGCCCACCCATCCTACATGGGGACCCCAAGGCAAGGCTCCCCAGCGGTGTCCCTCTGCCCTGCTCTCCTGACCCAGGGAAGGCAGCGGGTGCCTGAGCTCCTGTGAGAAGGGACAGGTTCATTTTTCCCCCCCAGGGTGAGCAGGGACTGGCAGCACTTCTGCCAGGCCATCTGCCCTCTGGGGCCAGGACCTGCTGCCCTGCTGGAGCTAGGCTGCGATGCCCTGATGGAACTGGCTGCTGACACAAGTGGAAATGCAGTGGGAACAGGGCTGGGGAACTGCTCTGCCGGAAATCCGCTACCAAAAGGGCATTTGTTTCTGTTCTCCTTGTCTAGATGGCCCAGGTCCAAGGGCCAGCTCCTAGCACAGCTGCACAAGAGCTTGCACCAGCCCCAGCACAGCCAGCGTTGAGGCAGCAATGGAGAAAGGCAGGTGGGTATTTTTGGTGTCAGCACCAGCCGTAATAGACCGTTAAACTAAGGCCATCGTCTTTCAAAGGTCTAACACAACCCAGCAGTCACTGGACGTGGGATTCTCACTGCAGTCAGTGAATGCTGGATCTGGGCCAGAGCTCAGCTCAATAATATTTCCAGTATTAACACCTTTCTTGAGACAAATATGGTGTGTTTGTGTCAGCCAAAGTTATATATTTGGCAAACAAAGGTAAAATCAGCAAGGCTTGTGCTGTATGTACAGAGGATGGAATGAAAGAAAAAGGGGAAATACACATTACTGCTTACCCCACAAACTTCTTCAAGGGTTGATTTTCACAAATGTAGAGTATCTCTTTTGCAGAGCAGTGAAAAATATTTCTTATTCTCTCAATGATCTTTGAGGCCACGATTGTTTTCCCTGTTCCAGGAAGACCAAGGACAAACTGCTTCTTGGCTTTGTGCAGGTTCCTGGAAAGCAGCTCATACTGTTTGAGAGTGAGAACATTGAAAATCTCACAGCCAAGATGGTCACTTAAGTAGGACTTAAAGCCCAGCACAACGATCACAAGTGCGCGTAGGAACGCAGGGATGTCCCTGGAGGTGAGGGCGTAATTCTTCGGATAAAAAATGGCATAACCACAGAGGTTTTCTTGGTTTTCTTGCTGGGGAACGTCATCCTCTGCAACTTCCATCTGGTTCTTTGTGCCATTCAGGTGCAGTATTTGGTGAATCACACACACTTTTGAAGTGTATCCCCCATTATTGACTAGCTTCTGCTTTAATTCATAAGCAGTTTCTTTTAAGTTTTCATTTGCAGCAGAAGAGGCATCCTTGACTACAGTATACAGTACTGGATATGCATTTTTAGCTACTAAGAGAACATCACACACAACATCCTGGTTTTTTGGCAATCCAATGTCAACAGCCCAACTTCTTGAAAATATCAGTACCCCCTCGTTAAGTGGACGGATTTGTTTTTTCATTAAATCCTCTAATCCAGGATACTCTGAGAACAGGTCAGTGCAAATGGTTTCTGGCTTCCATTCCATTTCATTAGAACCCACTAGAAAAAAAGAAATCAAAGATTAGAAAAACAAAATATAGCAAATAATTTACACAACACACCAGTTACTGGAGGAATGTATTATACCATGAGGTCATCAAAGTAAATGATTTAGTGTGAGTAAAAAATTCAGCATTCCCATGACAGCTGGTGATAAATCCGCAAGGATTTTTTATATGAATAAAAGAGGTATAAACTCCATGCTTCAGGCATGCCTGACTTCTAAATGGAATAAGAAAAAGTCTTGTTGGAGAGATCTTTCTCCTTGCTCTCTGCCTTCCCATTATTTAGGTATTCCTCTGACAGATACGTTACTGCCACAGTGAGAGACTGGTGGCTGAACCAGATGGAACAGCCCACTTACAGCATTTCCTACACTCCGGACTGGTAAAACACGAGGCATATAGCAAGTGAAAAGGCACCGAGGAGCATCATCAGTCTCTTCATATACAGACACACATTCCTGTTAAATATAGGGGAATACATGATGATACCTCTCACATCCCAACGCTAAACTTGGTGCTCCATCAAAATAACACATAACAGTAATTTTAAGAAATATTAACACAAACCCTCTCTTAAATTTACAGGTTAAAATTACAGCTATGCACATTCATAACACGCAGACAGATCTCAAACGCCAGCACACATTTACACTGTGTCGCAGAGCCTTCCATTTCAAAAACACGTTCTCAGCAAGAAACAGCAATTGCATACCCTGTACCAAAACACTATTAACTGATCAGTAAATCGATCATCTGAGAGTAATCCTGAAAACAGGTGTGAAAACATAGCAAAATTACAAAAATAATTAGAAAAACTAGCAATTAATACATACATCCATAGGTCAGAATTTGGGGAAACAAAACCAAACCAAACAAAAACATAGATTATATTTAATGAGAAAGTATGTTTGCTACTGACTGGAGCAATTCTGATACTGGACAAGAACATGGAATTCCGTGTCTCTCCCAAGTGTCTCAGAGCTTCACCTAAAGCCGCAGCCCTGCGCTGCAGAGACATTACAGGATTTACATTGCCCTTGGCTACTTCTATTCTCTAGTCTTTTAGGGGTTTTTAGGTGGGAGTATCTGTTGTGCAGCAACCATCCCTGCTTTTCTAGCTGAAGTATTTCTGAAATAATCAATGTCTTCACCTAAAAAGTAAAACCAAGGCAAGGTTCTCCACCCCTGCATGGTAAGGGCTGAGCTTTACTTTCCCTTGTGTGTCCCAGCCTGAAGTTCCCCTGTAGCAGTGAGTAGGGCAGCAGAATTAACTTAACTGGGTGAGATAAGTGCCTCAGCTGATCAGATATCCAACACCCAAATACTTGGTGCTTAGTGTTGTGGACCAGCAATATGGCATTGCTAGTACCAAGCCATGGGGAGTGTACTGAGTTTGCAAGGCCTCTGCTCAGAGGCTTGTCTGGTTACTTCGTTTGAATTTTTGTTGACCTGTTTCGAGCTCTGTTTCCACTTGGTTTGCCTGTAATAGCATTTTTTCTAATAACCAGGTGGCTGTGGATAACAACAATTAATTTATGCAGACAGCAGCAACAAGCAAGTCTTCTGCACAGGATGAAATCTTTCTGCCTATAAGATGATGATGCAGAGTACAGAAATTCAGGGTCTAGTAGGACAGCAGAGGTCTTGAGATGTGAGATACAGGATGCAGGGCTGATTTCAGGTATGGGCTGGTAAGAGACAGAGCACATGAGATCCCAAGGCCAGAAACAGCTCTCGGATGGTCAGATGAAGAAATGCAGCCCCAGAGCTGGACAAACCCAGTTTTAAGGGTAACAGAGAGAACAGGCATCTAACTTCTGTGAAATACGCTGTGTTTACTAAACCCTGATGGAGCAGTGAACTTGCAGCCCAGTGAAGAAAGAACAAGGTGTATAAGTGCGTTAGTAAACCTACAGCAAGTGATCCCAACTGGATCCTGGAGTAGGAAAAAGAAACCACCACCATCAACTACGTATGGGGATGCTGATGACTCCCCCTAACAACCCCTGGCAGACTGGAGCCATCAACAGTAGGATCCTGAGTGGCAGTGGGAGGCTCAGGAACAGGAGTGGATACTAGGAAACCTGGAGGTAACTATTATTATTATTATTACTTTTTCCACAATGGTATTGATTTATTGTATTTTTCTTTCTTTATCTGTAATAACTAGATCTTGACTAATGATAATTCTTTGATTAGACTACTTAGATTTCAGTTATGCTAGAAATAAATTATTCTCTCTCTTTTTTGTCTATACAAAAAAATCTGAGAGTAACAGGGGCAGAGAGTGCTCAAACCCCTGGGAAACTAGGTGTATTCTCAGCAATTGTGTGCATTAGGGATTGTACTTAGTGGAAAAAATGGGGGAAGAGATTGAAACATCCGAAAAATCAGGGAGTAGTTGCATCTTTTAAATATCATAACAGTTGCGCGCCTAAAATCTTATATCACATTATCTTCCTAGAAGTTCTGTGAAATACAATCTTAAATGAAAAAAAATATCCAGAATAAACAGCTTACCTGGGTAGAGGCATTCTTGGAGTTCAGACACACACTGGAGACCAGCGTGTGAATAAACTGGCTTGATAAGAGGAGGACCATTTGACAAACTGAGCTCATTCATAAATTTATCAGCCAGATTTGAAAGATCTTGAGGGAAGAAAAAAGTACATTATATCGATCAAAATCCTTCCATACGAACTTTCAAAATCCAGCACTAAAGAGTAACTAAAATGATTAATTTAAAGCCTCCCTTCTCAATCTTACTCAAGAAAACGCTGCGTAGATAGTTAAGAATGACACTATTGCGTCAAACCAAAAGGATCTTGATTTCCTGTAGCAAAGAGAGGGCTCAAAGCATAGACGGCGTTATGGTTCAAAGGCAAGATCTAGACCCCACGTGGGATGAGTTTGTTGAGACCCTGGTGCACAGGTAAGAGACACCTGACATGCCAGTTCAGCACACCAGCACCTTACAGGAGCCACCTACGCGTACCACAAGTCCCTTCAGTAGACACACAACTCCAAAGAAGACCTTGCTGCTTTGTTCCCCTCCTATCGACATCACCCTCTCTGGCTTTTGTGTGACTGTGTCCTTTGCAGAAACCAGACATCCCAGCTCTAAGCTCAGAGCAGGGCCACAGGAGAGGTTTCACACAAGGCGAGAGCCGCCTGGCACAGCGGGGACAGGAGGTCCCCTTTGGCTCGGGTATTCCTTGCTCATGCAGTCACTGCCGTGGGCACATGGGAAATCTGTGTTACAGAGAACCTGTAGGAAAGAAGGGTTAGTTTCTTATTAAGACTGAAAAACTTCAAGTCTACAGTTGGAATAAACTCTCTAGGACCCACCCTACAGGGCTCGATGTGGGGTGACGGAACAAAATGCAGGACGTAGCTTTCCAAGGAGGATTTCATAATGAAGTAGGACAACGTGCCTTAAAACAAGCAAAGCCTTGCACCTCTGAGCTCCTTCAAAACAGCCTTTGACAACCACAGAGCCAGGCTGGGTGTGCAACGTGATGTTTTGGGGGACATCTGAAATGCACGTGAGCCTCGGAAAGGGGGGAGCGGTTTGCAACCTGGTGCATACCGAGCACTGCGCTTGCTGAGCTGCAGGCTTGAAAGGACTTTTCTCAGCCTGAAGCTGACCTCTGAAGAGACGACTGACCGGGTTTTAGTAGCTACCCTAGTGTTGCTGACTTCATTACAGATGTTATAAGCACTTCATACGGGGAAGAAGAAAAGTTGCACGTCAGTTTGATGCCACCATTACTGCCAAAATGATTTTACTTTAGTGCTGGTACACAACTTGTGCCAAGATGTTGGATCTATGCAGATCAAACCACGGCATGGAGATAAATCCTCACGAGTGCATCAAGTACTGGGGATTTCATTCCGTGAGGATCAGCACCAGTAAGGACTTGTTTTTTAAAATAAACCCCTTTTAGGCACCTAAAGGGGCCATATTTTCACCAGGACACCACTCCCTCCCACACATCTTAACAGATAAAGCCAGCTTTAAAAGTTTTCTGCAATTCTCATTAAGAGTAATGGAAGCTCCTGGGTGACTTTAAATCTTTCCACTTCATTTAGGGGCATACAGGATCCCTAGGAAGGCTATTCCAGTTGGGAGTCCTTCAAAAAGTCCTGCTGAACCAGTTCAGAGAGTAATGCTCCACAGAACGGTTTGGTGTTGGAGGCCAGTTACCGTAACCACCACTCCCAGTGCCTGTGACTGTGCCATGAGCCAAAGACCCTTTTCTAGGTTTGGTGAGAACACAGAACAAAAGAAGTTGGTCTTTCCTCCTGAAAGTTTACAAACCAAGGCCAAAATGAAGTTGGCACTCATGTAAATGCAGATTTTACCTGGGTCTGCAGCTGTCATGAGCTCCACCCATTCCCTGACCTCCAGTCTTTCGATGTATTCACCCTTCACAATCCAGGATTCAGGATTGCTGTGGAAAACAGCACAGCAAAATGGTTCAACTCGCACAGCGCATACATAGCCCCGCAAGCTTTCTGCTTCGTCATAAACGTTCAAGATGTGAGTCTTAAACTGCACACGAGCCTTAGAGTCGCAGAAGTGATGGACGCGTATCGAGGTCATGACATCAGCTACTGTTTTTTCTAAATCTTCTTTCTTTATTTTACCATGGCTTCCTATTACTTTCCTGGCGTTGCTCACTCCAAAAAATAAATAACCGCCCTCAGTGTTTCCAAAGGCAGAGACATAGTTCGGAAGGGTTTTGCTAATGTATTTTGAGATATTCTCTGTAGAGAAGTTCTTAAATTCAATATGTGTTGTCTCTGTGAAATCCAGGACCTCCTCAAACATCAGTTTGTCTCTCTTTAAAAACCTGGCAGCGGCATCTTGGATGTTGCACTCCTCGGTGTTTGGAGGGCTCCCCCTTGCTCCCCCATCAAAATTCAGCAGAGCTTTCTTAGCCTTTGGCTCATTCTCATCACGGCACTCGGCACAGCTTTTCTTCTGCCTCAGAAACTCAGCAGCATCTCTTGAAGTCATAGGGACAACCGAAGTGAAAGACCTACGGGACAAACCAGTGCTCAAGCTACAGATCCGCGGCTTTGCGGCTGCACTTTTCTGCTCCACGTCTCCGCAGCTCCATGTTTTAACAAAAAGCAGCAAGTGACTCCGCTGCTGCATCCACGTGAAGTATTCACGGGTGTCAGTGCAGTCGATGCACCCCCTGAGGCTCTGCTCTATGTCCAGGCCGATGCCGTGCTCCTGAAAGCAGTAATTCTTGTCTTTGCTCTCTATCCTCACTACTCCTCCTCCTGAATTCAGCAGCGCACACACTGCTTCAGAAAGCTGCTTTTGTTGCCTTTGCTGAATATGAGAGGTCTTCTTCCTGGATGTCTCTCCTAAAACTATTTGTCTGATATCTACCACCGCATCGGCATAGGTCGTTTTCAAATTAATCCGCAGCTTCTCTTCTTCTCCGGCCATCCTGATCCTGAAATGAGAAATTATTAAAAACACTTCACAATTATACACGGCAGCGTGACAAAGGAAACCGTACCCCTTTGGCTTAGGCTTACACGCTAGATTTGAAAAACTGGAAAAGTAAAATAATTACGTGCAGGGCACGAGCAAATCAAAGCCAGCCCATTGCAAAGTGACCCACGGACGTCACGTTAATTAAGGTAATTTATTGGGCTTTTTTGCACATCGGGCTCTATTCGTTGTCCTGAAGCCACCAACAGAACACGTCCCAGCCACCTCGAACGGGCGCAGGTGACGAT